GACCTGGGTAACCTCAAGCCTTCTACCTTTCCTGATGATTTGGGTGTATTTTTATGGCGGTGCGATTGCTGGAACCAGCCTGTCTTTCTGTTCGTCCAGGCCTACCTAACTCAGCAGTGCTGTGTAGAATAGTGGAGATGAGGACCCAAATACAGGATGACACAGGCAGGTAGGAATGAATTGAGAAAAAGGAAGTGATCCTTTAGGTTGATCGTTGATACTCCAAAAGGCTAAACAAGGAGCCCAGAATGATAACAGGGAAGTATCAAGTTCCAGAAGATCTAAACTGGGAGACGTACTGGGAAGACAGATGCTCTGACTAAGGAGGACAAGGAGGGTGATTGTTTGGCTCTCAGTAATGCTGCAACACTAACAAACAAGACCTTTCTGCTGAAGGAACTCTTTGCGTTCAGTGAACTGGATTTTATGTTCCTGACACAGACTTGGCGTGGTGCTGGTGACTCCGCCCTGTTCTTAGTACTCCTTCCTGCCTGTTAGTTTTCCACTCCCCTCACCCTGCTGGCAGAGCTAAGATGCCAGTGCCTGTTCAAATCCAGTTTCCAGTGTCTTACCCGTTATCCAAGTTTGCAGACATTTGTCATAAACTTTAACAGTCCTGTGCTCAACAACATTTAACACAGATTTCTTATAGATCAGATTTTCTGTCACTTCTTGAGCTGTGTGTGGGCATTAAAGGTACATCCTTAAATAATTCACTCATACTTGTCAGATAGTCGGTTCTGTGTCAGGACCATCTGTGTGTTGCACACAATTTAATCTGTTTCCTTTACTTGTCTTTTGTTCTCCAAACACAGAAAGAAAAGCGCTTCAGCTCAGTGAGGCTGAACTCTGCTGGCCGTTCATGAATATCGGCTCCCTGTTAGATTCAGAATTGAAACACCTGCTCCTCGCATACAAGCTGTGTAATAACCAGGCCTCCTCAGAGGGGTTCATATGATTGTGTCAGTTGTGTCTGTAGGTCTTTGCCGTACTATGAAGAGCACTCTGAGGCGACTGTTTGATGCCATATTAATGTTATAACACTGAACTGGACTGAAGTTCAGTTTGTTTGCAGCAACAGAAAAAGTGTAATAACATTGTTATAAAACTCAAATTTATTTGAAAGTTAAAGTATAAGAAAGATATTTTTGTAATATTTGCAGATATGTAATATTACATATTTGTATCGTATTCATGTATTTATACATATTAACCTTGTAATGAAGTTGCTTTTGCTATAAATATTTTTTCCAAAGTGCAAAACTGAAAAAAAACCAGTCAGTTTGAATGTTCTTTTAAACGTGACTGTCGACATATTTTCCTCTTTGTTTCTTCTGTTGGTTTAAACCTTTGTTTTTGTTCTCAGAGCCCAACAAGCAGCGGCCGTGTCTCAGGTAAATCCTCCTCCTCAGTTTCTAACATCACTGAATTTTATTCATTTGTTTCAGCATCTTCTTCATGTGAAATAAGTGTGTTTGTGGCAATGAAGGAATATTTTACCAGACTTTATTCAAGCTGAAGCACATTCAGGTCAGATTGCTCTCTCGTGATTTTAATCTCAGATGAATCCAAATATGTTCCTGGTTAAATGATGATTCCTGCTCGTCTGGAGTAAAAGACTCAAATCAATTTAAACCAGTAAAATATAAGAAGTTCCACGTGGGCTTATTTTTAATAATCATATTTCAGATCTTAGTGCTCTGACCTCTCTGTGTTTCACTGTGTTCATGTCAGACTCATCGTCAGACTCAGAGACGCCTCAGGCTGAACCTGGAGCTGCTGCTGCCAGCAAAGAGGGTAAAAACAAAGTGATGAAGAATAAAGAGAACAGAGAACAAAACTACAGGAAGTTTGTATTTATACTTTATACAAAGTTGCATTAACTTGGCATTTGATACATTGACATTTAATTGTTTGACACAAACAATTTCAAAAGAATTTGTGGGAAAATGTAACCAGTTTAAAATCGCACTGTTTTGTTTTTCTTGATGAAAATTGACGCTTATATATTTATCATAGTCCAGCTATTTTTTGTTAATGAGAAATATGAAAAATATCTTAAAATGTGAAACTTAAAATGAATTCCACTGAGTTACTCTGCAGTCATGCTTCTTTCACATTTCCACAGCAGTGAACTTTGACATGAACTTACAGAGTCACACAGTGTCTGACATTAAATGGTCTCATCATTGATTTTCTTTGGACTGCTGTGAGTGGACGGACAAAATATAACTGTGGAGTGTTCCAGTGTTCGCTGTACTAATTAAAGGGGTTTTGTGTGGATGAAACAGCCAGAGGAAAACATCTGTTAATGTAACGCACAGAGACAGAGAGGCGGGTGACACTGCTGTCCGTCAGGTCTTAGACCTCAGTGATGAGACGAGCTGCAGATGGAC